GTTCAATAACGCCGGAATGGTATATTATTTATTTAATATTTCTCTTATGCGCTCTATTTTTCATTTCATGCTTCAATTTTGTCCCATTTTCCCCCCAAAATTTCTAGACCGTGGGTTGAGGATCGAAAACGTTCAATTCTGTGACCCACCAATCCGGGCTACCTGGCTTTTGCACAAAAATGTCAATACTAATAAATTGTAACATAATTTGATTGTCGGCAATCGTGAATTTGGGGAAACTGTAACCAAAAATGAGAATTTATATCAAAAGTTGCTACGTAACTATAGCCAATCAGAAGACGACTAACAATAAAGTTTGTCTTAGCTGCAAGGCCCTCAGCCAATCACAAACTACCTTCTATGCCGTTTGTCCAATGTAAATAGTAAACAACACACTCCACTTGCAAGTATGGCGTTGAACAGAAGTTCTTGAAATGATAAATCTGAGCTGGTTTCAGGCATATTTTTGTGACATGTTGTAAGAACCTAGAGTATGGTTGCGTCATTAAGCGTAAACAGCTTAAAGAAATTTAAGGATGTGCAACTCTGTGGAAAACAACAAATACGAGTTCTCAGTAAGGCCTATTAAGTTTCCGTCGAAGCTGATGAATAGCCTACATATATTACGAAGAGGATCTCAGGGATGGTGGTGCAAGTAGTAGTAGTCAAAATTGCACCGAATCTATTTAAAGGTACGTGTGTGGTTACATATAACGTTAAAAATGGTATGGTATGTTTTACGTAATTGAGAAGCACTAAGCGTCTCTCTATCACACCACACACACACACAGGAAGCCCTGCCTTTTCCTCAAACTGGGGTACTATCGACAGCAAAATAACCACAGAGTATTGTGAATCAAATACGATGATGTTATATTGTAATAAGCATATTGAGACAATAATGTTGGCAATGAATCGACCCAGCGTAAACAACTGAACATGAAGACAAATCAAGAATAGCCATCCACAATTATATAGCAACTATTTACTACTGTCTACCAAGAACAATTACTACACAAATTGAATCAATTCAGTTTTTTGTGGTGGGGGATGTGCCCTTCCGTGACTGTGCTTTAGACTAAGTAATTTAGGCTGAATTTGATTTTAATGTCTTCATGAAAAGAATATAACAAAATTATTATATTAATAGTACAGTATGCTTTATCTACATAGGAATCCTTAGACACAACATAACAAATATATATGTATTAATAGGTATCAAAACTGACTTAAGCAAATAATATTTATCAACACTTTGATGTCCAATTAACATCACCACCTGCATTTAATATTGTATTATACTGATACTACTTATTTTTCTTTTCTTTTTTTTGTGTAAAACAACCTTTGATTAAAAAGAAACAATTTAAATACATATTGTATTATACTGATACTACTTATTTTTCTTTTCTTTTTTTTTTTTTTTTGAAAACAACCTTCGATTAAAAAGAAACAATTTAAACACATATTTGATCATTAAAACCATCACAGTACCATTGATAAGCTCTTTGAATTAGTTTGTTTAATTAATTTTCACAGACCACAGAATCAAGTGAATGGAAGTTGATGAACCACAGCCAAAGCAAATGTTCATTCTGCATCACCTGAAAGCTGAAGTCAAGAATTAAAGTGCTTCCTGGTTGAAGTCATGTTCTCCCATGTATTTTTTTTTGTAAAAAGACAATAATATATTAAGTACTTTTAATAGAGCAAAACCATTGAGAAATTAGTAAGATGTGAAACATTGAGTGGTGGAATTACTTGAGGCTGCTATTGCAAATCAGGATGAAGCCTTGTCACTACATGGGGGATAAGGATCTGGTGACAATTCAGGCCATATTATAGGCAATGGATAGAAAAATGAATCAATTTGAAGTACTGTAGACCTATCAGATTGGAACTGTATACTGTTTGTATGAATGTTGTTATCTATTTGATATGACATCATACCATACACTGTGTTGAGAAATATTACCAGATATTATTAAGGTTTTTCCTTGTATGAACATTTATCAACAACACATTTATTTTCTTTATAAAAATTTGCATTGACTTTTTGAATTGCATTGTATTGTATTTTACAATGCGATATGAAAAGAAGAAAATAACAGAACAGTACTTGCTGATAAATGATAATGAATACAGCAAAACTTTCATTATTTCTAGTTTCTTTTAAATTGTTTATGCTGGTAGGCTACATTGATAATATTATATAATTGTAATATTTAACACATGTATATAAGTGGATTGGATTGAACTCTATATTCAGCTATGTTTAAAACAGTTCTATGTAGGTATATGATATGCTACAGTGTTTCAATAATATTCATATAAAAGTTCAGATTTTTGTCATAAACTTCTTTCAACCTTGTGTTTACTGTTGTGTAGTTAAATGTACATAACCCAGTGAGTGATCAGAGAGATAATGAAAGTGCTGATGGGGATGCAACTGGCTGAACTGAGGTATATTAAAAATTTATTTGTTTCACCTTATTGGAATCATCAATTGCTTTACTTTTATTCATTAATTCAGTCCATATTATCAAGGTCTTCAAGCAGTTAAACAAAAATCAACAGGCATGGCAAGAAATACTGATTAATGTTATTCATTTACATTGCATGCAAATAAAAACATTTGAAATTTTACATCAGCCTCAATGTGTTCTTAATTATTTTTTGAAGTAATTCAGCCTCAGTTTTCTTTTAAAATGTACATTTTTTTTTAATTATAGAAAAAAAACAAAAAAAACAAATAGAATCAAAATATATTATATATTTACAGGAATTTCCTGTCTCATTCAAAGTCGATGAACATTACTTCTTGCCCTTCCTACTATGCATAATGTAGGCCTCGATAAGTAATACAATACATATTCAGTACAGCACGGTCGACTTTGGCTTAAAAAACTACGGTATGACAGTCGACAGAAGACGGGAAATGCAATTTGCTACCTCTAAAATCTTACAACTATTACCAATGTATTTTATTTAAAGGCTGGTATACTTATATCATATTGAAATATTCCACTAAAACCGGAGAATTTTCGTCCAAATTGCTACACATTGTCACTTTCCTCGCGACATTGTTTACACTAGTTACCGAGTTTACAAGAACGTTTGTGATTGGCTAATAGCGTCTCATCAATGCTTAACAGGTATGGTAAGTGTGCTGTGATTGGGTACTGCTTTCGTGAACGACATTATTTTTTTGAAGATAAATGATGTGTATAAGAGACAGATTTACGATTGCCGACAATTATATTATGTTTCAATAAAATAGTATTGACATTTTTGTGCGAATGCCAAGTAGCGCGGATCAGTGGGTCACAGAATTCGTAAACTAAGCCGATTTTGGAGCCTCAACCCACGGTCTATTCAGTCCATGTCAGTATGTGAAGCGTGAATGTTGTGTCAGCCTATGACCCTAGGCCTAGTTTAAGGAGGGGCCTAGGTAAGAACTCAGCCTGTAGTTAGGCCTATAGTTTATCCTCTTTCTCTCTAGCCTTTGGTATAACTGTACCTATCTACACTTTATAACAGGAGGTACTAGCTGTTGTTGTTGTAGATAATATACTAACATTTAATAACATCCATGAAGGTCACAGTTAGTTACACAGTGACGTACATCACATAAGCCCGTGAAATTTCATAGGCCAACCGTAGGTAAACATAGAAAGAGCAATAATAGTAAAACTCGAGCGTCACGACATTGCGACGTGTCTGCTCTTGTTCCTCGTATCGTACTCACTCGAGTCAATCCGAGATGGCCCGAGTGAAGTTTCATACAAATGTTTCGTACGGAAAAAAAAATCGCATACCGTATGTCATATAGGCATATTTGACATCGTTAAACGTATTGCAGAGCATGCGCAGAGCGCAGCCAATGATGACAGGGTATGTGTACGAGTGTTCTGAATAAAGAAGCAAAGCCTGAATACTTCTACAGCATTGATTTTTAGTAGCATTGCAAAGTAACACATGGTGTTTTAGTTTGTTTGTTTGTTTTTTTTTTGGGGGGGGGGGGGTCCTGACCGGCATACATTGATGGCCTGGAGTAATACGAGCGACGTCAATATTGTCACACCGTATACTGTACGCAGTAATAATTATCTCATACAGCAGAACTCCTATTAGGGGACACCTTAGGGACCGAAAAGGTGAAATTGATTCATTAAATATAATAGGGGTTTTGGGTTTATTTTCGTTCAATGATGGCATAGATTCTTTAAAATTTTATTTCAATTGACCTAAGACAGGTTAACAGGTATAACAAAACAATTGCAATGCAAAAATAATTTATTTAGGCCTATGATGTGAAATCAACAGATACTGTACATAATAATTAAAATTACAAAAAAATGTATGTTCCCGATATTGTTTCTTGATTCTCGTGCAATGTTAATGACCAAAATAATATTCTTCTCTTTTTTAAGATTGAGCGTTCTTGGATGCACACGATAGAATAGCATATTAATATACTGCAGAGTAATAACTTAGAGATCAGGCTGCAGGTATAGATTAGAATAGGCTTACTTAATGAAAATACACTAAACCAGAAATCACCATAGTAGGCCTAATGGTCAAAATTGACAAGATTGTATTTATACCTTAACACATGCACATAGCCATTATACCAATAGTATGTCCATATTCTAAAGATTGAGAGGAAACATTTTGGTTTGAAGTTTATTGCTCAAAAGGTGTCCAAATATAAATTTGAATGATTTTTTTGTATATATTATATATTTTTATATATTTTGAGACTACTAAAATTGTTTTGATACTTAATATTTCTGAAGACAGAAACGAGCAGCGGGCCCATATATAGTTAGGTTTAGAGGAGTGATTATTAATTTCTGTGTTCATTTCAATTCAGTGGCGGATTCAAGGGGTCCCCAGCCGATCCTGGCCCCGTAATTTGTTTGTATATAAAAAAAATGGGGGAAAAGCAAATTATATTCGAATTTCCGGCCATCTGGAGAGGTGCCATAATCGCTAATGCGATTTAGACCCTCCATCGGTTAAAGTCCCTCCCCTCCCTACTCATTTCGCACTCATGTGAAACAGAGATCAATGTAACACGCCCTCTTATTTTCACTCTATATCTGATTACGTCGTCTGATTGAAGAGGCAGCAGAGGTCCCGGGTTCGAATAGTCCCAGTTAAGGCAATTTTGTTCGCACTCGCAGATCCCTTTATAAATCTTTATTAAGAAATCATTCTGTTTTAAAATAAATAAAACACTCATATATCCTGTTACCTCTAGCCTAGGTGTTTCCATTTTCTTCTGATAATGTTCACCGTTGTCACGTCTTTCTGCGTCTGCTCTTCTCAATACCTTTGTTATTTCATCTTTTCATATAGGCCCTACATACTACTGATAATTCCTTTGAAGGTCTAGATTTCTTTTTTTTTTATTATTAATACATGGCTATTTTAGGAAAAATATATTTAAGTTTAGGTCTAATTCTAGGGTTAACGATCTTGCCCAACAACGCCGGTAATAACTGCATGGCCTAATAAATTACTAAGGCGGTTTGATGCTTGCCTTCCGATCACATGGACCTGTGTTCAATTCTTGCCAATGTTGAGTGCCGCCTACAGTAGGACAGTGATTAAGGTCGCTATTAGCGAATTCTTGACAACGGTGCCTAATGAATGAATTTTTTAAAATAAAAATTTATTTAAGGCTTGGAAAGTACTCTTTTCCAAATTATTTTATAGAGGCTTCATTGATAATGTCATAATTTTGTTTTCCACAAAGTGCAAACTTATGAACATGCAATACAGTAATCTTACAGTTTAATCTCAGATTGAAAAAGTATACCTACTGTACATTGGTGTTCTCTTGTCAATCGACTTTATAAAACATGCTCGATTTATTGGACGGTATTGGTAGCTAAGCTGCGGCAGAAGAAGTAAGCAACAGCAGATGCAGCAGTAGTGTCGTAGTGGTGATATAGGTTGTGGTAGTCTAGTGGTGGTAGAAGGCCCTAGTCTTAGATAACTTACCTTAAGCGCAAACAAGTTATAAAGCTTCAGAAGTATTTTAATTATAATAACATTTGACATTATTCTGAAGGTGTATCTTAACAAATAGACCTTAAATTCAATTTTGGCTTTATACATATATGAACCATGTATGTAAACTTATGAATTTCGGTAAAAATTCAAAATGTTTTGCATGTAAGAAATTATAATCCAGTTCAGTTTTGATGAAACGTAAAGATATCTTCTCGTACTTCCTGAGTAAACAAATAGGCAGATCTTTTGTACTAAAGTCCTGGATAATGGACTCAAACTCCTAAATAAACTTTTAATCTCATCAGTATTAGTTGTTCATTAAGTATTTATTAAGTTTGTTTATGAAAATATTTATGCCATCAATCGACAGTTATGCTTAAGGATTAAGGATACTTAAGGGTGCTTTATGGCTACGGGGAGGGTAGTGGAATAAAATCAGTGACGTGAAACATTTAGACATGGAAACCTAATAAATGGCAATTACTTCAATCCGGCCTTATGCAATGCATTTTAGGTTTAGCAAAATTGTTCCACGTAACAACATGGTGGAACTTCAACATATGTTAATGATCTAAAAACTTTAACTACAAATACTTACATTGTTTGTCAAACTTTTATATTTATGCAAAGGCTTGGTATTATGCCTATTTTAATTGTCCGTTAACAAGTAACATTTTGTTTTCTCATTTTAAGTTTAATTATAATGATATTTCTTACTACAAAGTTTAACCCAGACGCTGATCAACTCGCTTAAATCATTCTGATTCCTTTGTTCCATTTTGCCGCACTCTCTCCTTTGAATTATCCGTTATTTCACTCTGAAATAGACTACCAAAATCAGTGGTAGACATGGAGAGGCTAATTATTAGCCACTAGTCATGACGACTATGTTGATATCTGGCCTCACCAGGTAGCTTTTTGCTTACGGAATTCATGAATGAAAAAAATAAATAAATAACTTACCGGTACCTAAATACAAAAATACAGTATAAGCAATTAACATATTAAAATAATATATTTTAAAACTTATAAGTTGATTGGCTTAACAAACAACACGGCATATCTTTCAAAAAATACGACTAACAACCTCATAAACATTGAGTTCAGTATTTCTGTCAATTTAGGTTAATTTAATTTAAATACAAAAATATAAGCAAACAACATATTAAAATAATATACTTTATAAGTTATAAGTTGATTAACTTAACAAACAACACGGCATATCTTTAACAAAGAAATACGACTAACAACCTCATAAACATTGAGTTCAGTATTTTGTCAACTTAGGTTAATTTAATTTCTAATAATTACACTGCCAATCAAGATGAAACAGTTGATAAGACAACTTCCATGCCCTCTAGTAAACTCTTTGTCTCCCTTCACGCATGTGTAACAGTCAACCTCACCAAACCTGTTCGGCTTTTAGTCGAATAAATTTTGTTTAGGTTAGTAATTTGTGTTTTTTTAAGAGGCTGTTATACTCACAAAATATACTTTACTGGAGCAGCTTGTGATAGAATGTATCTTTAATGATATCTCAAATGATTTAATTCAAACGACATATATCAAGGAAGTTTTCATTTACACATAAACGTCACATCCGATGAGGAAGCGCTATGCCCACGTTGAATTAAAACATCAAGCGTCGCGGCAAAAGTATTACTCATCCAAATAACAGCAGCAGTAGGCCTATTTAAGTGTTACTGAAGTGTGTTGAAAAGTGTATACCAAGAGTTTGCGATAGTTACAAGACCACGACAGAAACCACAGCATGTTACTGTTCAGTTGAGTAATTTGTCATTATTTACACTCTGGGTGAAGTAACGTTTGTATCGACAATATTTTAAAAAATCATGGCGGCTAAATTACATTTTAATGAAGAATTTTTGGAGTGTTCAGTCTGTCAGAGCAGCTATGTTAACCCACGTGTGTTACATTGCCTCCATAGCTTTTGCAAAGATTGTCTCGTCAAACATGTGGAGCCAATGACTGGTAGGATCGCTTGTCCAAAATGTGATTTCAAGACAGTTTTGCAAAAATGTGGAATGGCAGGTTTAAATGTCAACCCGTTGATCTTGAATCTGCAGGGCTTTAACAAAATCCACAATTTGATAAAGAATCCAACTGACCCTATTGTCTGCACACTGTGTGATTGTCGGGAAAATGCAACAGGACGGTGTTTCGAATGTGATGAATTTCTTTGCTCAAAATGTGTCGAATCTCACAAGAGAATCAAGATGTTTCAAGAACACGTGGTGAATTCCTTAGACGAACTAAAAACTACAAGTTTAAGAATGCTTTACAAAAAGTCTCGTAAGGTAAGCAGATGCCCGCGTCATGAAGGAGAAAGTCAAAGATATTTTTGCCAAAGTTGTGACGTTACTATATGTCGAGAATGTACGGTTGTTGACCACCCAAGACCGTCACACAATTACGTTGATATTCGAGACGCGGCGTCAAAATGTCGAAAAGAGGTTGTAGAGAAGATGGATGATCTAAAGAAAAAAAAGGTTAATTTTCAGGAAGCAATCGATGAAATTAAATCAATTGAAAACGCAATCTCAAAGAAAGCCAGTAAGATGAAATATGACATCGTTTGTTCTAGTGAAGAGAAAATCAATTGTATTAAACAAGAAGAAGCAAAACTCATTTTAAGAATTGACTCTCAGGTTGAGAAAAAGTTTGGTAAAATTATGAACAAGAAATCCGAAATCGAAACTAAATTGCACACATTAGAAAGAAACGCAGATTTTGTAAATGAAATTTTGAATTTGGGTAGCGATCGTGACGTAATCAGTATCCGGAATGAAATTGAGAGCACTGCTATAAGACTCGTCAGTGAGTGTGATGTTGGCGAGAGTCTGAAGCTCTCAAAAGATATAGGAACATTAACCAGCGATAAACCGAAACCAGCCCCACGCCCTAGGCTAGAAAAGAAAGAATCCGGACTAAAGAGAGGCGGAAGCGGTAGGGGTGAATCATTCTTTACAACACCAATGTCACGTACTGCCAAATTTGGAAAGCATGGAACTGGACTTCTAGAATTCGGGTATGCTCGCCGGGCTGCTGTCACCAGAGAGGGGGACATTGTAGTCACGGATACAAATAATTGTAAGGTACAAGTGTACAGTCAATGTGGAGAACTTAAATTGACCATCAATGTGGCTAGAGACCCTCTTAATGCCAAACAAGGTCCTCTGGACGTGGCAATTACACCTGATGCAAGAATACTGATCGTACAAGAAGAATGTGCGAACATGTCGTCATATAACAAGAAAGGAGAGTTCCTAAGTAAACTAGCATTTGTCTCACCTAATGAAACAACCGGTCCTTGTCTGGCGGTCAGTCGCGATGGCAGAGTGGCTATTGGGAATTGGCAGAACGATACGATACAGTTTCACTACGCAGACGGATCAACTATTTGGAGGATTACTTGCCCAAGCCCTTGGAGTATTGCTATCAACTCCAAAAATCAACTAGCGGTTGCCTACAACGTCAGTCTGCATACACGAAGTCAAGTGAAATTACTTAATGAAAATGGTATTGACATCCATGATATCACTGTCCCATCGACAATGATCAAAGACGCAGACATGGATCTTACAGGGATCTGTTTTGATACTCATGATAACTTGTACATATTAGACTGGACGTTGAAAGGCGTCCACATGCTGAATATGGGTTCTGATGGCACCTACCAACACATAATGTGCGTTGTAAGTGGTTTAGAATATCCATTAGGCATCGCATGTACCTACGATGATAAAATGGTTGTTGTGGAAAAACACTTTGTAAGTATTTTCAGTAGAGATGTCACATCAATTAGCAATTAAATGAGTGAGTACCGGTACACCTCTTAAATTATTCGGATGGTTTTAATTAACGCACTTAAAAAATATGCGAGACAATCCCGAGTTGTGTATCCTAATTGTTTTACGTGATTTTAAAATAGACAAATGGCACTCGTTGAACTAAAAAAAAAACGATTGAGAATTTAACGGGGAAAAAAATGCAAAATTGATTATTAGAGAGTAAGCGCCTAATGGGAATTGGAAATGTTCGCTACCTAGGAACATAATTATTAATTATATCAGGAAGCAGTCATATTACTGCTTCCTGATTATATTATTAATATAATCATCATCATCGTCATCATCATCACCATCATCATTATCTTAGTCGATGTCGATATAATTGAGAGCATATTCACATTTATAAGGCGCTTTCTAACAGTTAAATGGCCAATTTGTGTTACACTGTATGTGAACGTTTTATATTGAAACAAAATGTTGTGAATATGTTAAGTACTTTTTTATATTATCAAATATGATTGAATATATTGTCCTTGTCAACTTCATTTTACGATGACTACTCTCGTCATAATAAAACCCTCGCAATTAAACATGACAGAGTAAAAAAAAGTAAGTACAGTATACTATAATTAAATACTCTGTCATAGTTTTAGGGCCTAATATTTTGTAGCTAGATTAAGTGCCTTTGTAGGCCTTGACGTCAATGTATAATATTTGAATTTTGACTGATAATACTATCCTAATTGCAACAGATATACAATCAGGTACATTTTGAATATACAGAAAAGATCGAAAACACATTACCGATAATATAGTGTTATGTGAATATTATAAAACATTTTTTTTAAATCTGAATGTTGAAGGAAATAATTATAAAGCTTTCATTGTTAATAACTTAAAAGAAACCGCCGTACAAAACAATATTGAAACCTTTTTATATACCTCAGATCTATTAATGAAGATTCCATGTATGTATTATATACTGTAAGGAAGGCCTAGTAATCTTTTAGCTCGTTTTGCTCTTTTAACCCATATCTATCAGAGGCTCACTCAGTACGAGAATTTGCCTGCAACGGTGTACAGTTGCGATCCCATCATGCAGAGGTTGAACCAGGGTTTGCCCGACGGGGGAGTCTGATGTCTCCGACGGGGTGAGGGGAAGCGATGTCCCCGACGAAAAAAAAGTAGGTGTAGTCGGGTGTCACTCAAAATCTTTCGAGAATGTTCTATTGTGCGAAGCCCCAGAAAATTATGACAATTTAGGGGTTTAAATTGCTTTACTTAATCAATTTTAGAATCTACTAATGTAAAAAATACATATAGGCCTAGGCTCTAAGCCTACATTTTTTTTCTCTCTCCGATGAATTGCAGTTTCTCTCCCTCCTTGACGGGGTGGGAGAGCTCTCTCCGTCAGGGGAACCTTGACCACACTGGTGCCACCCCTGCCGCCATTATTGTTAAATCCCAAAGGTATATAAATTTAGATTTACATTTAGATTTAGATTTTTATCTTTTTATTTCAGTAATTTTAAATGCGTCTTGTATGTTAGTAGTTACCAGATAAAATTCTTTGAAAAGCTCTTCCTGATCTATTTCTACGATGATTTTTTTGTTACAAAAATAAAAAATAGAACACGTAAACTGGTGTAATTTTGTTGTTACTAAGCGCATTAAAAGGTTGTTGCAACGTCAGTCGATACGTTATTAATTTTCTATCATTGTTTTTATCAATCATTGTGTTTGATCAACGTGCACATGCGTAATAAATGCTTAGACACGACGTACGTTTTTTTTTTAGTAATAGGCCCACAAGTTAATTGTCAGGGTGAAGTTATTATTATAGCTTGGTTTTAGATCTTGTTTTTACATAACATTACAGCATTTATATACAGTATCACTATTTCATAAAGATCAGAGCGCTCAAAGTATGGCCATATATTATGCTTATAGTAATTTTCTTCTCCACTATGAGTCCCTTCGTTTCTTAGCCCGGTAAACCTGCTCCTCCTGTCTGTCCGCAACAGGGCCTGGTATGGACCAGTACAACGAGGTAACCCCTGCTCGTCTGGAAAAATATACTGGGTTCTTTATAGCAGGCCTACACTGAGCCAATTGTACACCGGACCTACGTCCTCCACAACCATAGGCGAGCCTTGCCGTTCGAAACAGCGCCGCTTGATGTAGGTTGCGGATCCTCTACCTTAACCGCTCAGACACTCGCCACAATTTTTTAAATTCTATGTTGAAAGGTTTAAATTTGTGAAACACTTTCAAAGACACAAAATACTGTTTATTCTGTCATTGGCTAGTCAAAAAGCGCTAAACGACTAAACTTATTATGTATTGTTTGATGAGAAATAGGCTAATTGAAAAGATGTGTTATCCATTATAAGCCCATGTTTTAAATTCATATCTAAAGAAATCAATTTAAATTCTTTATTATTTAATTACTCATCCATTGGGGATCAGCGTTTTGATTGGATAGAGCAAAATTAGTTGACGTAAATGTAATTTTTCATAAAAATTTAAAAAAACCGTCTACGATAAAAATTTAATTGCTCAGGTAAAAATATCAGAAAGTAATCAACATCTAATGGGACACACATTAAAATAATTTATTTAAATATTTTGCTGATATATAGAAAATTCTTAAATTGATTACTAATATGTAGCCTATTTAAGGGCCTATGAATATAGTAAATAATAAAGGAATGTTGTTTTGCCTTATGTGAGGAAAAATCGTCATGCTAAATTTTCAATTGAAATCTGATAATTAACTTAAATTAAATATACTAGGTAAACAAATCAGACATTCATTTCATTGAATTTAGTTTCCAACAATTATCGCATTTGCCCACGTTTCAGTGCGTTTATTCCTCGATTACGTCATACAATTCTGACTTCTAATGACGCGAGTTCGTGTGTTTACCTTATTTCCTTGTGTATTGATGTTGGACAGCATTGCCTGTGAGTCTATAAATAACCTGCACAGGCCTACAGACTTTAGATGTGGAGAACCCTTAGTAACACATCGTCCTATGCCACTATACATGACCTAAAACCAAAAGTTCTTATAGAATGTCCCTATAAGCACAAGAGTAGCATTCTATGGCTTTCTTTTAAACAATTAGCTAATGTAGGCCCGACGGCCGTTGAGTTAATGGTTGTATTCCACACACGTTGATGCTGTCAACAAACAAGATCAGGTCATTACATCTTGCGTTTATATTTTTTTTTTTTATTATTGTATTCTACGAAGTCAGTGACAGTCCCAAGCTATTACGCTGTCGTATTTAGTGAGGCGATAATTATTCTTTGGTTGTTGCAATAAACATCATGAACTCTTTATAACTCGCAATTAGCTGTGTTCACACAGTTCATTTGCATATTGACGCGCACCCTCTGTCATTAGGCTCCGTTCACACTAGAACAATCTTGACGCGTTTTACGAACCACTTGACAACCACTGTCGCGTAGCATAGATTTTAAAAACACATGCAAACTTTGGCTGATGCATTTACGCCGCATGCAATTAGCCTCAACGCGGTAAACTTTTTGCGTTAGGGGGTGGAGGAAGGATATAATAAAACAATTGAACATTTTCACGTCTTGATGTGGCCTCTTAAGCGTAGCGTACTAGAATGTGATCAAGTGAGTTTCGTCTAATCGCAAGACTGCCATGTAACCTTTAAGGTTCCCATAGACGGCAATGCATTTTAAAAGCTAGAAAGAAAATGATGTATTTTAATGGAGGATTGGTCATGTAAGCTTGTGGCTGCAACATTCAACGTCAGGCCTAGTGGGCCTACCTTCTTACTTACGACACGGATCCTCCTTTAGCTGCGCTTTCGCTAACACGCATTCACATCTCATGCAAATACAGTCAACACTCTTAAATGATTCATTATACGGTCAAAAACGGATTAATTGCTACTTTATCACACTAATGGTATCTTCTGTCTCACTCAGGAGAAATCTTGACTTCTAATCCCGAATAAATCAAAAATACATTCGAATATTATTCTGAATGCGGGTGTTTTTCTCACCTCATGGCTCGAAAGCCGAATCCAAATACAGATAAGCTTAGTAAAGGTTATACGTTAATAGATTAGTGTTGGTCTTCTTAAAACACACTTTAGCACGAGAGAACCTTTTTGTCGGCTTTAGCTGCTTATATTAATCTTTATTAATAGGCCTACATCAAAATACTAGCACGATTCAGATTAACAAAGCATCCGCGTATCTTGCTCTATATTAACACTCGCGGTTCTTATATAAATAGGCCTGTAGCTAGATGTTCTATTTCTGTGCCTGGTTACTAAGTATTTACATTTTAGCTGTTGCTTAACAATTTTGTATATGAAATTAGATCTAGCCATTGTTTCCTGTATTTTGCCTTTTAATTTATTATTATATAACTTTATTGTATATAGCTTACATAATATAGACCTGTATAATATAAAGCTTATATAAATCATTATAATTATAAGCTTGAAAAGATAAGAACAAGCAATAAAAGAACTGTCTCTTATACACATCGAAAAGAGAATATAATCTGTCTCTTATACACATCTAGATGTGTATAAGAGACAGGATCAGTATTACAATATATTATATATAGGGCCTATATATGCAGTGGAAATTCTAAATTGGACCACCTTGAGTTTAAGTAACACGTTATTGAGTTCAATTCAGTCGTTTTGAGTATTTTATTAATTTTAAATCTAAGCGGATATATCAATTAGGCAACACGTTCTACAAACAACCAAAACATTTGGTACAATAATAAAGGTTCCGGCCCGATGCAACCTTTCCCTTTGTTATCTGACCTGTTGCCAACAAACATATTATTAACCAAAAGGCCTTAAGCCACAGGAACGCTGCCAGCTAATATAATTTTATGAAACTTCAGTCTTTTGTGAATTTATTCGATGCCACTCTGGAATAGTCAAAGCAATTCGTTATTTAAATTGAAAATTGATATTTATGGTGCATTCACTATTATAATATTACAAAAGAAGCACAATAATTGTCTTAAGGGCTCTAGCAACAGGCTACTCGTGTAAACTGCATATCATGTCAAAAAAAACCCTAATCCACAGCTTACCACGGACGACGATAACATAGCATATCCATGTAAATTATACTTTGAATATGCTCAAATGTAAAACAGTAGGCCTATTTTATATAGAATTTATCGTATCTGTATTTTCTATACCTCTTTCTTTTTGTGTTGTTAATGTATATGTTCAAAATATATCTATGGTTACGGAGGTCTTAGAAAATAAAAGAAAAAAGTAAATCTTAAAAAACATATATGACTGAAAGTTCACTTAACTGTTATTAGCCCAAGTACGGTAATATACATTATTTAGCTCTAATAATACCGTTGGATTGTCCTTACTAGTTAATTCAGTAAGCACAAATCCTCACTACATTGGATTGCTTAAAAGCATTAAAAGCTCCTACCTAAACCCCTCTTCAATTTACAATTTAACCCTTCAAACGTTTAAGTTTAGCCCGTTCATTCAACTATACACGTTCACTCAAGATAAAAAATATTCACCAGTATCTGAATTTTGTGTGTTAGCTGTTGGTCAGTCATGCTTAGACAACATAAAGTTGATATTTTTTAGCATTACCAGGTATAATTCTATTATAATTAATATTTACTTTTATTGTTATTGATGTAATTCAATTGCAGTATCGGCTGGTCATGAAAAGGATAAAGGATTTAATAACTAAATAAGCACACGTGAAACATATCAGTGTGATGCGCCCTCTTCTTATAATAGCATCTTAAACGTCGATGCGATACTGTTTTATGTAAGAAGTGTTACAGAAATATATAATAATCAATTTTCAAGATTTCCTAACTACGACCTAGACGAGTTTTTCTATCTTAACCATAGCTGCACTGTGTGTGGGAATTTCAGCCAGTTGCGTTAAGAGAAAGTGCCTGAGTTTAGATCTGCGCTTATACCGTATGTCTATCTCTGTGGTCTAATCAGGGAACAGTTAATTTTTAATTTAACCATGGAGGTATTAAAATACCTCCATGATTTAACTGTTCCCTAGTCTAATGGTATAATACTCCCCTTGATAGCGACTGGTTGCAGGTTCGAATTCTGACAGTCAATTATTTTCATACAACTGAATAACAAAATTTTTCGTTGCAGGGCTATCACATGATAATATAATAATGACGATAATAATAATAATAATAATAATTATTATTATTATTATTATTATTATTATTATTATTATTATTATTATTATTATTATTATTATTATTATTATTTATAAAGCGCACAAATAAACTGCAGTAGTGCTCAAGGCGCTAAATAATATAATAGGCCTATATTGTACATACTCTAAGGGCCAACTCAGACAGCGTCGTACGACGCAGCCCGACGCGATTTGTTGTCATGTCGGGTCTGTGTGAGTTCAACGCAGACGCGATGGTTTGCGTCGGGGGCAGTCGCGTCGTAGAATATTAAACATGTTTAATATTTCTCACGACGGATAAGACTGTCCCCGACGATAAATCGGGTCGGGCTGCGTCGGCCGACGCTGTCTGAGTTGGCCTTAAGAAACAGCTATCAACGTAAGACTACATATAACTCATAGCTTTTAATATCAATTATATACACGCTACAGTTGTTTTTAAAACTGGTTATATAAAAACCAAGGCATGACAAGCCGCATACTTAACAAGTAGGTCGATATCTGAGCCTTTATTTTTTATAAACCAAGTGATACAATTCATACTGTATAGTTAAATGCCGCTGGATTTATATATACCGTCTATCAAAATATAGCTACAATTTATATTATAGCCATTAGCATATCATTTTCTAATAATGATAACCATGGACCTTTCCGGAGTGTTTGTTTGTGTGTTTGTGGGACATGTGCGTATGTTTCTGTTCTGAACAGAAACATACGCACATGTCCCACAAACAAACAAACACACAAACGTACTTTTACGCTGTCGTAACATCTGGGACATTGGTAACCGTATCCAAAAGGGGTTAGGGAGAGTAAGGTAGCCTACAATGAAAAGGCGAAGCTACGACTACTAACAATCGAATCACAGACGCTCACACACCGTTATATACTCTATTGAACATTGATATACAACGATCAAGACAAACTACGATAATGTTGAAGGGATATGAAGGTCATACATCATATCTAAAGACTTCGACACTCTAGACTGTTTTATGTCCTTCTACTACGTATCGTAATAACGATGCCCCAGGCCTTGGAAAAATCATACGCCGGTTATACAGGCTCAATTGAAAATAGCAGTACATCTTCGTCACAGTAATAATAGTAGACAGATTCTTGTGTAAGTCTAAGATAAAGATGGTTTTAAAAGATATATTATATGTGTTGAGCTAAGAAAAACCATGAAAAATCAAATTTAATATTTGAGTATTTGAGTTACTTATTTTGTCTATTTAAGTAATAATAGCTTTCAATTGTAAATAATACGGTACCTTGAGAAAATATAACCTGGTAAAAAAAATTATGTAGGCCTAATGGCCTGCTAATCAATTTGAGGGGTTTAGAA